CCTCCTGCTTGCTCCAGCTCTGTGGCTGCCAGCAGCCATCTTGGTTGGGTTAATTTGCATATAGTCACTCTGATTGGCTGGTGGGCATGGTTTGTGGGCATGGCTTGTGAGTGTAGCAGAGGTATGGTCAATTTGCATGTTTCTCTTTTATTAGATAATATTATTAGATTATTTTCCAGATGAACAACTTTAAACCTACTTTTGACCCACCCTGTATTATAACCATTATCAGTATCTTGCACGTGTGTAGTATTTTATACTTTTCTGAGCAATGTATATTGTTATCATTCTGTATCTTCAGAATAACTCAGTGAAAGTAGACAAATTATTGGTTTTGGCCAATCCTTCACATCCTTCAAAGTCTGGCTCAAAGGCTATACACTCTGTTAGTAAACACACCTAAGAGCAGCAAGTGAACTTTCAAGTATTAAAAAGCTATCTGTATAGGTATTTTAGCTCCCCAGTTTGGCTGAAATAAGGACTGTATCTAATACATCCTTGTGTTTAGTGCTTTGTACTCTATAAGCTTATATCTTGACCAGATCCAAGAAGCAGGGACTTGGAGGTAGCCCTTGGAGAAAACTGTTTACAGTTCATAACTATTTGTCTGCAAACAGCACCTCCTCTCATGACTTCAAATAGACCACAAGAGTCTTGCTTCTTACTGGCAAATGGAACTACACTTGGTCTTTAATTGCCATTGATGCCATTATTTTAGGAAAGTAAAATCTAAAACCCAAATCAACATTTACATGCTAAAATGGTAAATTATGGAGTACTTAACATACAATGCTACATATGGAGCTTTAATGACTTCCTCTGTATAACTGTTTGAACTCCATTCTTGCCTTTCTTCATTTGGCTTGATTCTGCTAGGGACCCCCTGAGGAGTTGAATACCTTAGAATTGTGCCCCTGAGTTACTAGTAAGAGTTGCCTTGGGGGTGTGAATTCTTCCAGGGTTTGTGCTTGTCTGAACTACTGAGTAGGTTCTCTCCCTCAACCTCCTCTCCCCAAATAAACCCCAGTGGGTAGCAGAGAAGCCTCAGGGCAGAAAGTAGGAGATACATAGTTCACGGAGTCCTTGGGTTATACCAAGAAGATAGTTAACAGTGGGAATAAAAACATAAGCTAGATGAGCTAATGCTTGTGAAGTAAGGCACAAAAGGAGCCTATTGCAACTTCTTACAGAATTTGCATACATTTATATTACCCAGGCCACCTGCAATCTGGAAGGCAGTAAAGAAGCAGAATGTCTAGGGGTCTAAATCCTGGGAACCTAGTAGGTAGAATGCTGACACTAGCCATTATAGTACAGAAACTATTTACTGTACAGTGGTACATTCTTTAAGAAATTACTAATGTATATGAAAAGATTTGGCCAGTGTAATTTAAAAGCTACTAAATGCTTCATAATTCATCTTTAAAGAAAACCTGTCAGCCATCCAATTCCAATTTATTGAGTGTCTGCTGAGTACAGCACGTTAGACTAGACACTATTTGAAGAACAACCCTTTGCCATCAAGGAACCTGCAATTTTAATGTTCAAACAACACACACACACATGAAATACCAGGGAAAAACATTTTCCAAAGCAATGCAAAAGTAGGCATGAATCTTGAGATGAATTAGCATATTTAATTAACATAGGAGCTCTGT